AAAAATGGGCCTGGAATAGTGCCTTTTTCGCCTAAAAGTTTATCGGTTTTTAGATATGTATAACAACTGTAGTGGGCTCACCTGCAAACAGGCGTCGGGCAACAATCGCGAATGCGGCGCACTTGTGACAATAAGCAAAGGTCATTATAGTGTTACGACCATACGACGTACGGGAATGAGTTATCAGCTGTCTAATCGTAGACAACACAATGTCGAGCCTTAAACTGTAAGCCCGTATTGGTATTGTTTCTTTTATTTGGCTGTCGAACATTATTTATGGTTTGAAATATGATTTTATGTAAAATAATTGATATGAAAAAGCCGTCTTATAAGTTATGACCCCATTTCACCACACGCAAGTGGCAGAAATGACAATGATCAGCTGACGCATTTTTCTTGGCCGAAGTCAGAGCGCGCAGCCCGACGCACCACCACCGCACCACAAAGTATGAGCAGAAGCCGCGCCCAAAGCCAGGGCCCCGGTAACGTGAGGTAGCCGAGTCGGGGCAGCGTGCGCTGACCCAAGCCGGGGCCGCAGCTTTGGGCGCGGTCTACCGCATCCCCGCGGGCAGCCCCGGGCTATCACATGACACCGGGAGGACGCGCGGCTCCGGCTTGGGTCAGCGCACGCTGCGCCCTGACTCGGCTACCTCACGTTACGTTCGCCCTGGCTTTGGGCGTGGTCTACCGCACCACCTAACAGGCGTGTTCGAAACCGCAGGAGCTGATGATGAACGGGTTTATCGAAACTTGATTGGATGAGCATATCGGTAATAGCGATTTCAGTGTGTGCATTTATTGTTCATAGTGGTGTGAAATGTGGTTGGGGTACGACCGACAACCCGTCGGGGCGAATTTCGCACTGGGGTACTCAAAATTTGAAGAATTTAAGACGTTTCCATGAGTTTTGAAGGTATGGATAAGTTCTAAAAATCAGGTTCTCCTTATCTGGGCCATTAACTCCATACGGTCCAAGAAAGCTGGCACACTACCTTTAAACATTATATTTAAATGTTCTCATCTATGGAAAAAATAGATTTAGAGTACCTACTTTGTTAATTTGTTTTAACATTCAATAAGTTTAATACACAAACAACCATTAAAAATGTTCGATTATTGACCCATCATCACTTGAACTCTTGATTTTTAGCTATGAACCCTCGAGACCTTATCTTTGCATCTCAGAGGAGTGCGAGATAGAAATATCCCTGCACTGTAGACCCAATGGCAAATAAACCTCAACTAGAAAGATATAAGCCTCGCAAAAGCGTCCGCACGGCCGGCCGGCCGCTCATACTCAGAAATTTTCGTTAATAGTCTAAGGAAAGACTCCGCTCGCTTCGCTCGCTCCGTAATGAAAACTTCAGGAGATATAAATAATCCTATCTCGGGAACCGATAGAGCTACAGCGCCGCGGAAAAGCGCATGCGATGGCCCTTTTACAGACCTTTCTGAGTATTGCTCTCGGATTTAACCTCAGGTCAACGGTTTAGCCTCCAGGTCCAGAGGGCAAAAACTCAGAAAATAACCGTTTTTACGAAAAACGTGTTTTCGGCAATAACTTTTGACTCAAAAAAGTCATGACATTACTTTTGCCAGCATCGTGTTCCTATCGTCGAGACGCGTCGAATGAACTATAATTTGACCTTGAAAGATCAACTTGAAATTTGACCTCAGGTCAAAGTCATGACCTGACCGGAAAAGGTCATGTTGCATATCAGTCGATCCGCAACGTCGAGCCGAACACATCTAAGGCATTTTCAGCGCTCTAGCACGCCTCTATCAGAAGTTATTAGCGAAGAACTTTTAGATTCCGTTCGTGACCTGAGATAACCTCGGGGACATAACGAGGGGTCACAGTTGCCATTTTTCGGTTCAGTGTGTCAATCTTACCTACATCTCGATGTTTGAGAGTGTCTAGAATAGCGTTTGTGCAAAACAGAAGCTTTTCAATTTTCTCCCATTGACTTATAATGGAGAGGCCGCAAAATTGCCCTGACCTTAGGTCACCGATATCAAAATTCCGAGATAAACATTTTATAGATAATGTTGATCTTATCAATTGCTGAAAGTTTCAAGGCAATCGATCAATCGGTGTAGCTATGACGAACATTCTTATTTTTTCTGAGGTGAGGTCACTTGGCGTGACCTGGTGACCTGACCTAGGGCGACATGGGTCTGAAATTTTCACAACATGTGCGGAAAAGATGCACAAACAGGTGTGCCAAAGACAGTGGCGTTCCACGCCGCCGTTTTTTAGATATCTGCGAAAAACCGCAGGGGGGTGTGTTCAAACACCCCCCCCCCCCCGGCCCTGCGCGGGTTAATAATATTTGAGAATATTGTTTGCTACATATTATTCTTTTGGCAATCAGCTTTCACTGGAAAAGGAAAAAATATGCCTATGATTTTAACAATGTCCTGGACAGCACGTCGAATAAAAAATCATCGCGTTTTTACAAAAACGCAATTTTTGAAAAAAGGCCATCGAATGATTTCAGTTAAGAACACTTTTTTGGAATCAGCTCACCGTCAGCTTTCGAATGGTATATTTTGTTTCTTTTGTGGATGAAATGACTTTCCGACGAACCGTGTTGACGGCGTGCCGTGTCGCCGGCCCAGACGATAGAAATCTACGCAGGCTGCCACTCTAACCCTCCCCTTCCCACTTTACTATGTGCCGTAGTACATGCTCGCGAGTAACTGGGCGGAGCAAATGGTCACCGATACAGAGGCCTGTACATAAACGACAGGTAAGTACTTCGGTCAACCTCACCTAGCAACCAGGTATGACCTCAAAGCAGCTTTGAAAGCGCCGCTGCTACCTGCGGCTGACGTTCGTAAATACGTGGGTAAATCGTTCCAGGCTCTACACGCACGTGGCCAGAAACAGCGGCGACCAAACTCAATGCAGACACGCGGCAACTCCAGCAGTGTTTCCATGCTCGCGCGGGCGATGCGACAGAATACATCGGAGCGGCGAACAACTCGCTCGCGCAGAGGCTCCGGTGCTCGGTCGTCCATGAGGAGTGCTCGTACTAACAAAACATCATGTTCATAGATAAGGTCGTCGACTTTCAGCCATCCCTCGCCCCGTTGGGGGGGGGCATTTTGGCCCCCCCTGTGGTTTTTCCTGAATAGCAAGAAAACGGCGGCGCGCAGCGCCGCCAAATTTTCAGTACCTTCCCGGGCATCAATTTGACACCTTCACACCAAATTTCAAGTCTTAGGTCACCTTAGGTCAGGAGTTATTGAGGTCAAACTGAGGTCATGTTCGAGCAAAAATGAGCAAAAAACATGCAATCTTGAAACGCTCACCAAATCTACAGTTATCAAGCAATTTCAAAGTTCTTTATATGGTCTAGTAGAAAAAAGCGGCGCTACAAAACTGCTATCTCGGATTTTCAAAATTTTGGGTTTTTGACCCCCAAAAATTCAAAAAATTGATTTTTTTATAAAAACTAAAAAAATCCAAAATTTTTCCGAATTTCGAAAAAACCGGAATATATGTGATAGTCCCTGCGCTCTTCTATATACATACCAAATTTCAGATCGATATCTCGTTTTTTGGCCAAGTTATAGCGAAAAAACTGTTCAAAAATGATGACGTCAAATTTTTGAACTCAATTTTTAGCGATTCTAGACCACGTACGGCAAAACGAAGACCACCATTGAACTCCCCGTGACGAGCTGCATCGATTCGATACCCATTTTATGCAAAAATATTAACTTTGAAATTTGACCTAAGTTGACCTGACCTTGACCTGACCTTGACCTGAACTTGACCAAAACGTGACCTAAGCTGGCCCCAAAGGCTGCCTGACCCACATAATCGCATTTGTCATGTAAAATGGGCCATAAAACATGTATCACACGACACTTTCATATTGTGACCCCCCAGTGACCTGACCTCTGGGACCTGACCTGGTATCAGTGACCTCAAATAGCAAAATATGTGTTTGAAGAACATTTCCCCATCGATGATTTTCAATGAAATGCATTTTACTCGATTTTACAACGCATTTCTTGAAATGCCTGTAAACGGTGAAAATTGGACCTTTGACCTGACCTGTGACGTCATCGGTTTGACCTGGGTCAATAAAATTGGGTCACAAGGTAGTTTCCTGATAGGGCTATCCAACATCGTTTGCCGCTTGTCGCTAGGTTGCGTGGTTCTCGAGATCTTAGGGGGGGGGGGCAAAATGGCCCCCCCCCCGACGGGGCGCGTTGCTCGGCAGAGCCCAACGGGGCGCGGGTTAAGCTCGTGTAACACTGGTGACACTCACTCGAAGCAGGTTCAAAACGCAGGTTCTGGCGAATCCATCTTCTTCTGTTTTTTTTTTTCGCTGCAAGCCCTCCTTCAAAACAAAAATATGACATTTTTCGACAAAAGCTTCTTTGGAAAGGTCAAGAGCGTAGTATCGTCAAGCAACCAGGTGCAGGACATAACATTGAGCTACACCTACAGTGTTAACTCCAACTCCGGAGTCGAAGTCGGTAAGATTTTGGCGACTCCGACGCCGACTGACTCCGACTCCGACTCCGACTCCGACTCCGCAGCCTTGGTAAGGAGAGCCATTCGTTAGCATAATCAGTAATGATCAGCCTACTCATATGACATTCATAAGCAGGCTGAGAGCGTGTTCCGCTGACTCAAAGGTATAAACGAATATTCAATTTTGTCATTTCGACTTTCGACCGGACAGATATTTGAGTGTCGTCACTTATCACCACACCACACCCGCGAACTGGTGAGTACCCTCCCCTCCCCTGGGTGCAGCTGAGTGCCCTAACTTTACCCGGGTGCAGCTCAGTGGCGGCGGAACACCTTCACTTAAGGGGGGGGGGGGGGCACTGCCGACTTTTGGTCCCATTCTTTCCATGCAACGCCCATAGGGCTAATGTTAAAGTGCCAAAATCAAAGGGGAGCACGGTGCCCCGGTGCTCCCCCCCCCCCCCCGTTCCGCCGCCTATGGTGCAGCTAAGTGCCGTCACCTCACCTGGGAACTGCTCGGCGCTGGAGGAGAAGAGCACGCACAGTCCGGTCTCGTAGTTGAGAGCGCGGCAGGCGGCGGTCTCGGCGCACAGCTGCGCGCACTGGTCGAGCAGCAGCGTGCCGGGCCGCGTGTCCAGCAGGTCTGCCGGCGCGCTATACACAAAGCCCGTCCACAGCTCGAACGCCACGTCCGCCGGTGGACAGGAGGGCAGTGGCGCGCGCGCCGCCGCTGCCGCCAGCGCACCGAGCAGCAGGCGCCACCACCAGCCGGCCATGGCAGCGCACCGGGGTCCGGTCCGCCGGCGAGCGCCGCTCAGCGCCGACTGGCGGCGGCGGCCGGCGCGGCGTCTGCACCGGCCGCTCCACTGCCGCGACACTGCCGGCCCGAGCCAGGCGACACTGGCGCCCGGCCGCACCCCGGGGCAGGCTGTAGACCTATTCGCCCCCTCCCCCCACCCCAGAAAATGCATTCTGCTTAACCCGCGTCGGGCCGGGGGGAAGTGTTTGAACACCCCCTGTGGTTTCGCAGATATCTCACAAACAAAACCTGTTTATGCGTCTTTTCCATACATCATATGAAAATTTTCAGAAAAAAAACTCAACCTGATCGAAAAGGGTCATGCTGCATATAAGTCGATCCGTATCGTCGAGCTGAATACATCTGGTGTGTTTTCATCGCTCTAGCACGGCTCTATCAAAAGTTATAGCAAAAAAAAACTGCTGGTGACCGTTAACCCTATTAGTGGCAAGGGGGATTGTATTCATCCACCCCTCAGGTCTGTTGGGCGAAACGGCTGGAGCTAGGAAGCTGAAATTTTGTGACTTCTCTTTACCCGCGCGGGGCCGGGGGGGGGGGGGTGTTTGAACACCCCCCCCCCTGCGGTTTTTCGCAGATATTTCAAAAACGGCGGCGCGGAGCGCCGCTGTTTTTGGCACACCTGTTTGTGCATCTTCTCCGCACATGTGAAAATTTCAGACCCAGGTCCCCTTAGGTCAGGTCACCAGGTCACGCCAAGTGACCTCACCTCAGAAAAAATAAAAATGCTCGTCATCAGGGGCGCAGCCAAGGGGGGGGGGGCACACTGGGCTTTAGCCCCCCCCCCCCCCCCCCCAAAAAAAAATCTAGCAGGCGCCCTCATCCAGGGCGCCGAAGTCGCCCTGGATGGCGCCTTCCACGATCATTTCGGGGCGCCGAAGGCGCCTTTCTAATGTCCAGCACTCTAGGCGCCCTCGACGGTTAGCCATTGCGGTACACCATGCGGCACTGGCGCCCAAGTTTACAATTTTATATCTCTTTGTGGGTGAAGATGCACCCACAATCCTGAACTGCCAGACATCCACCCCCAATCTCCTGACCATCTAGCGCCCTCATCATCTTCAGCGCCCTTCTGTCTGTTCGGCGCCCTTCTGATCTGGACTGTCGGCGCCCTTCTCGCCATTCAGCGCTCTTATGGCCTGCCGGCGCCCTTTTAACATTCGGCGCCCTCTGGGCTGACTCTGGGCAGTCGGCGCCTTCATGGTCCTTACCACACAGCATCCTCCTGATCTTTCTGCGCCCTCCACACTTGCCGGCGCCCTCCTGACCTGTCAGCGTCCTCCTTATCGTATTATAGCGCCCTCCTCACCGTACAGCGCCCTCCTGGCCTGTCGCCGGCCTCCTCACTGTATAGCGGCCTCCTAAACATACAACGCCCTCCAGACCGGCGCCCTCTGCGTTTAGCGCCCTCCGGACAAGTCGGTGCCCTTTTCACCGTAGAGGGCCCTCCTGAGCTGCAGGCGGCCTCCTGACCGTACATCACCTTCCTCACCTGACCGCGCCCTCCTCTTTAAGCAGTAGGGGAGAGTGGGGCAAAGCGGCCACCCGGGGCAAAGCGGCCACCCATCGTTTTAGCCCTTCATAGCTGGCGTCAGTTCCAATTTATGGTTTCCAATTATACTTCTCTTCACGGTCGTTCGAATGAGCCAGACCGGGGTTTCAGGCCCATCACCATTGTTCTGTGAAACACGGAAAAGCATTTCTTGCCAGGTTACCAACTATGTTTACAATTTTTAAATGTTATGTTATTCCATAACCATTTGGAATTTTTATAAGGGTTCTTGTCCATGCATTGCATGGTTATCGTACATGTATTCTGCCAATTTTAATGTTTTTTACCCCACTAATTGCTAAGCTGGAATATTTTTGTCTCGGACGGTATGCGCGGGGCAAAGTGGCCGGGGCAAAGTGGCCACCCCCCAATTGGCCATAAGTTGCTTCCATCTGGATAACAAAAATTATTTATATTCAAATGTATCGTCATGCATTCATCTTGGCCACTTTTCAGTTGCATGAGTTACCAAATAATGCAATTAAATGTTTATTTTCATGAAAATCCTTTCTTTGTTTACCTACAGGTGGAAGATGATAAAGTAAACATCCATCCTCGCTTAACCTTGTCACCATCAAATACCCTAGTCGTACACGAGGCAACTATTTTGTTTCTCATATCGGGACTTGAGAAGACGCCGGTGGCCGCTTTGCCCCAGGGTATGGGGCAAAGTGGCCAATATGCATAGGTTTAAAGTTTTGTCAATATCTTTCATGTGTGAACGCCTTTGGAAATAAAACGCAGTTGAAATAAAAGGCAACTTAATAGGGATCACATTGGTATAGAAAGAATCTTTCCAAGTTTAAAAATCAAGCGTTGGCATCGTGAGAAGCGTTAGGGTGGCCGCTTTGCCCCACTCTCCCCTACCCTCTTGACTTGTCAGCGCCCTCTTCACTCGTATAGTGCCCTACTCATCGTATAGCATCATCCTCACCATACGGCGCCCTCCTGACCTGCCGGCGCTCTCCCCACTATACAGCGCCCTGCAGACTTGTCGGTGCCCTCTTCACGTAGCGCCCTCAAGATCTGTCGCAGCCCTCATCACCGTGCAGTGCCCTCCTCACCTGTCGGCGCCCTCCTCGCCTGTCGGCGACATCTTCGCGTTCAGCGCCCTCCTGACCAGTCAGCGCCCTCCGCAATGTATAGCGTCCTCATCACCATACAGCGCCTTCCTGACCGGCTGACGCTCTCCTCACCATACATCGTCCTCCTGACCTGTCGGCGCCCTTTTCACCGTAAAGCGCCCTCCAGATCGGCGCCCTCCTCACATTACAGTGCCCTCCTCACCGATTATCGTTCTTCTCACCATACACTCCGGACCTGTCAGCGCCCTCTCCACGTTACCTGTGCTGGTTACAGACGGTGGTAAGTTCTGATCACTATGTTATGCGCTTAGTTGTGTATTATGGTTTTCCATGATCCGTCATATTTTGTGAATTGCCGTAGAAGCTTGGGCTTGAGAGAAGGTGAGCTTGAGAGCAAACCAAGCTCAGTTTAAACTCATTTTGTTTAAAGTTTTGTTTAAAATTTTGGCTTCGCATAATAACAAATGTTACCTCGCACGTAAACTATCCAGTTTTTTTACAACTATTTACAATTAGAAAAGCGTTAGGCGCCAACGATTTAGGCGCCAACTAGAAATAGAGCAATTTCCGGAAAATAAAGGCATGACAACGTTTCCAACGCCTTATTTTGGAGCTTACTGCATCTAGTTCGGCAAACATCCATCGAGCACGTGCCACTGGCCCGACCGGCAAACTATTCACTCATCTTATTCACTCTCATTCAACTCATTCACTTATCACTTTCGTCCTTTTTGGGTCGGTCGTAACCAGACGACGCTTGACACCAGAATTTGAGACCTAAATTGGAACCGAAGGACGGAGGAACTGAGCCATGGGGTCGAAAAATACACCAGTAATGCAGACATTCGCAGCCCGTTTGTGTTTGCCTGCAAGGCTGCAAGAATGCCGAGCCTCGCTTCCGTTTGAAATGCGCAAAATGTAAATGCACTTTTCATCTGGAATACCTAGAATAAACCGTAGTTTGAGTGGAATAAGGTCGCGTGACCATGTAAGGGAAATACGAGAGTGTACATTTTGTCGTCCTTGCTCGGCATTGATAGCGTCCTCCTGAGCCGAAATTGGCGCCCTTCTGACCCGAAGTTGGCGCCCTCCTGACCCAAAATTGGCGCCCTCACCAATTCTAGCCCCCCCCCCCCCCCCCCCCAAAAAAAAATCCTGGCTGCGCCCCTGCTCGTCATAGCTATACACCGACTGAACGATTGCCTTGAAACTTTTAGCGATTGATTAGAGCAGCATTATCTATAAAATGTATATCTCGGAATTTTGATATCGGTGACCTAAGGTCAGGTCAATTTTGCGGCCTCTACATTATCATATCATATCTGACTCGTCTGTCATCGATGCCAGAGCCTCTGTTCACACTCATCTTTTAACTGATCATTTTCCTGTTATCATTCGTACAACCACCAGACGAGCCCGGATAGCTCCTGTGACTTTTCAGACACGTGCATGGAACAGAGTAGATTGGGATGCTTTCTCCCTGTACATTTTGTGTGCAAACTGGAACTTGTTTTACCTTGCCCCCGATATAAACACCAAACTGACATGCTTTATGAATATCTGGAATAACGTAGTAAGTGTACACTGTCCTGTTACAACTAAACGTGTGAAACGCCCATACTGTCCCTGGCTCAAAAATGAAAAAGTAAGAACTGGTATGTTCGAGCGAGATGCTGCGCGTCGCGCTTGGAATCGAACCCATTCTGACGCGGACAAAAACGAGTACCGTCGCCTGCGCAATAGTGCCAAAGTTGTGCTGACCGAGCACCGTCGTTCCAACCTCACGGAATTATTAGGACGAGACGCAAGGCGCTTTTGGGCGAGATTGAAAGACTTTGGCGCGGACCTCTCTAAAAGACACCGCTCCAAATCGAAAACAGCGGAAAGCAGCCTCTCCGCAGACTCTCTTAACAAGCACTTTGCCAGCGTCGGTGCTCGCGTAGCGGAGGCCGCACACGCCGCGACCTCGGCCTCAGCGCCGAGCCTCGCCCAAATCGAGTATGTGCTACCTCTTTCGTCTCACATTGTGTAACCCTTCCAGAATTTTCGCGCATTATATCTCGGCTCGGAGCGTCACGGGTAGTAGGTTTAGACGGCATACCCCTGCACGCCCTCCGGAGCTGTCTCCCCGTCATAGTTCCCCATATTCTCCACCTTGTCAACACATCCATATCCACCTGTACCTTTCCAGATGCCTGGAAGGTCGCCGTCGTCACTGCCATCCACAAATCAGATCTCAACGACCCTTGCAACTACCGCCCAATATCAATTCTTCCAGCCTTATCAAAGATCCTTGAAAAAGTGGTATGCTCCCAACTCAGTTCCTACCTTATCACAAACCACATCCTCTCACCCTCCCAATACGCTTATCGCCCATCACACTCTACGGAAGATGCCCTCCTCGACATTGTCGGATGGA